TACTACTACTACTACTACTGCTACGAACTACTACTGCTACTGCTACTGCTACTGCTACTGCTACTGCTACTGCTACTGCTACTGCTACTGCTACTGCTACTGCTACTACTACTACTACTACTACTGCTACGAACTACTACTGCTACTGCTACTGCTACTGCTACTGCTACTGCTACTGCTACTGCTACTGCTACTGCTACTGCTACTGCTACTACTACTACTACTACTACTGCTACGAACTACTACTGCTACTACTACTACTACTACGACGACGACGACGACGACCACGACGAGGATGACGACGACGACGACGACGACTACTGCCGTGTTCCCGCGTGTAAAAGCCCGCTGGCCTGCCGGGCGAAAATGCACTGGATAAAATGTCGCCGAGCCTTTTCGTTCTCCATGCTTCCGGCCCTCAAGCGTATGTCCCTCCACTGTAAGCACGTGTTCGTGTCATTGCACCGGCAACTGTGACATAACCCTTGCTTGCCTTCGTGGCGGATCCACTGCAAAGTGCACGGAGAGCCTGGAAGGAGCTACATCCGGACATTCCTTCTTTCAAGCTTGCAGTGGCCTGGCAGATAACGGATGCTCAGGCAAATAGCCTGGTCCACATGCTAAGAATGTTCAGGTGGGGGCTTGCCGCGGAAGGTGGCCCAGATGAATCTTCAGACAGGGACGTGCTTGTTGTCGCCATGCTCTGAAGTGCGACTTTGATTATAGCAGTGCTTGTGGAATCCACAGCTTCCGACTCAGGCTGCAAGAGCTGCTAAAAGCGCAGCCGCAGAAGGGCAGCCGACAGAAGCTGCTTTAAAAAGAGAGACTGCCGCATCTTTCCTCATCATACAAGAATCGAACCAAATGCACAGCGTTAACTTCGATTTGGCTTCAAGGCAGAGCTCCCGGAAACGACATCCAGGTGGAACTTCGAGGCTGCTCGCGGCCAGGCTGCAAAGATCTGCAAACTGGCTTGCACGTAGTGGGGTAGCGTCTGCCTCTTAGTGCCAAAATCCAAGGCAGTTCCATGCCGAGATCCGTGTTCTCCCTCCAAAGGACGGGTAACGAACCAAGAAGGGTTCAGGGTACCATCTGATGATTCTTCAATTCTTCGGGCTGCCTATCTAAAGCTCTTTCGACATGGCAGAGAGTGGTGCCTGACAGTCAAACCTTACTGCTTCAATGCTTGATCGCATTCTGAACGACTCGAGCTATTCGAACAGACTTCACATGCGGGCGTTGCTTTGCAGCTTCCGTTCGGGCCTCGGTGTCGGACGTCGACGAGGAAGGGTGCGCGAAGAGAGGGAGCAAGGATGACAGGAAGAGATGGAGGAGGGAAGAAGGAAAGGGCTTTCTCTTTCCAACTGTTGAATGGAAGACCCTCCCCAACGCCTTCCGCAAGAAAAGACACGGATGGCGTGACATTTTCAAAATCGACTCAGAAAGAACAGGCCATGGAAGGAAACTGAGTTCATGAGCTGAACAGGATGAGGACAACCCGCCAAGATTGGTGGTCTGGCGCTGAGATGCGCTCAGCACAGGTCGCCACTGAAGACCGGATGTAAACGCAAGAACTCCTGATCCGGCTTTTCTTTGGTAAGCTTTGTGCTAGGTGCGAGACCTCTCCATGAACGGGACTGGTCTGAAACATGGTGACAAGCCAGCTGCCGGACCCTTGGCGTTGCCATGCCCGCACATGGATCGAGAATCGTTGATTGGAACGTTTGCCTGTTTTTGGCCAGCTCGTGTTCCGAGTCTGCGGATGTTTCACCTGTGGGCTTGGCCGCAGTGGGCCTGGAGCAGCCGGGACAGGGTCTTTGCACGAAGGGCCGCCCAGTCGCCCAGCACCAGTGCATGGCAATGGCCACGGCCGCGTCGGTGACGCAGCTGCTGCCGACGTGGGATGAGGATCCGAGCTTGAAAGTCAAATTTCGCCAGGCCCTTTGGGACTCTGGAGGACCCCGGGCTCGACGGCTTCACGGGCTTCTGCAGTGCCATGAGAAGCTTCGTGTACACATTTGGAGCCTCAACCTGGAAGATTTCTATATCATCATGATCACATGCAAGGACACAGATCTGCTGAGAAATCTAGGTGAGGATCATTGCTTCCCACGGGGATATCCCGTTATTTGGCGGCCGGGTCAGCGATTGCACCTCTGCGGCTTCTATCCGAAATTCAAGAACGATGCAGAGTATAGATCGCTATCAACAGATGGCGTTTCGCACCTTTCGCTCACCATCAAGTGGTCTGGCTTTCTGTTTGCCTTGCTCGCGTTTTCACACAAAGATGAATACTACTGGGTCGTAACATCGAAGAACAGTGCCAACTGTAGCCAGTCCTATCTTGAGGACTTCACGCAACTGGCTGCAGATGTGATTGCTGCAGAACTGGGCGAAGCTCTCCCCCTTGTAATCCGTCGCCTGGCGGACAGCCAGACCTACCTATGCGGCGAGTGCCTGAGCATGTCCGACCAAGGACATGGATATGCCTACCGCAAGGAAGCTGTCATGATTACTTGTGCAGGCAAGTATGACAATCAGTACAGCCCGGAGAAGGAAGATGCTTCGTTGCTCTTGCATTTGCCTCCTGCGGAAATTCGTGCTGTTGCGAGGGAATGTGGGTTGCGATGTGTGCAGGTGCTGGAGGTCCCATCAGGCAAGGTGAGGCGAGTCGTGGACGAGCTCGAAGGAATGCGTGATTTTCTGACCGCGAAGACGACGATGCGCCTGCTTGCTCGATACGGATTGCCTGTAGAACAGTTTCGGGAACACGCAGACTTGATCGATTCCGATACCCTGGAGGGCTTGGTCATGCATTACCACTATAGTGACCGGCCATCTGTCCGAGTGAAATGGAAGCTTCCACGCTATACTTTTGTGACAACGCTTCTACGCCCCGTCAGAAAGAACAACGTGGCTAGTGCCAGACTAGTGGACATGTCAGCTTCGATGGCCAAGCAGTGGTGTCAGACATCGGAGGGTTGCGACTACTACACCTGTTTCGGTGTGCTGGCTGGCGAGCTCGTGAAAGACTTACCTTCGGGAACACTCATAGCCCCATGGATCTCCGCAGCAGACGAGGCCTTCGGTGCGGGGGCCGCCGCGTCTTTTTCCAGTCGTGGCCACCCACGATTTTGCCCGTGACTCCCCCAAGTTTAAGCCCAATCGACTGTCCAAGATGACAACACTTCCTGGGTAGTGAAACCAATTGACCTCACGACCAACGGCATACGAATAACTCAACAAGATTTCGCAGCTGCTTTAGCACTGCGGCGCACCCCGGCAGGTGTCAGAATCATGGGTTAGCGAAAGCCTGGTATCATTACTCGCAAACCCTGTCAGAACTTGGAAGAGGCTTCAAGAAAAGCGTGAGCGCCACAGGCACTCAGCCTGCGGGAAATTCGGAATTGAAGGCAATAAATGTAAAGGCCGAACTATGGCCCCTGGCAAGCCCGGCAATCCTAGCCTCTGTTGGAACGATGCTTGACGAGTTCGACGAGTGATAATATTGGTTCCTTTTTTGCTCCAAAGTCTGCCAGGTTTTTGCGATGGAGCACAGTGAGGTACTGCGACGCGGCAGGCAGATCATCGACCAGACGCGGGAAAAAGTGTCAGCAGCACTCACCAGATCACGGCACATTCTGCACGTCCAAAAGCATGACTCCATTGGATGCGCTCTGGTGACCTTCACCAGCCCAGAGGCCGGACTACAGCACACATCGAAATCTTCTGAAGTGTTGTCGGCCCGAATCCAGGCTTGCCACCGTCTTCTGCATGCGGGCAACCGGCTGGACATTGGTGCAGTCGTAGCTGACGTAAAGCGCCACACTGACAAGACGACAGGGCAACCTTCAGCAGACACCGTGTTCGTTGCTTGGGGGAGACAACAAGAGCTGCCGCTCAGATTTCGGTCATAGCAGAGGCTTGAGCTCGATTTCTGCAGAATCGGGTGCCACCTGTTCAGCCGAGGAATGCACCAGTGAGCGGTGAAGCATTGCTGGCGGCATTGGAGACTTGTGTCTCCGGAGCTCCTGCAGTGCCTGCGGTGCTTGCTTCGCCAGCAGCCAGACCTGTTGCTCCCAAGAGGGGCAGCTGGCAGCTGAGGTGCCGGCAAGTTTGGTTGTCTTGTTTCGCTTGCCATGGGGTTGCGTGGACTACTGGCACAAGTCTGCATGATAACCGACACAAAACGCACGGGAGTGGGGGTCGCAACACTGCTGATGCTGGCGGCTCTGCAGTTGAAGAGTCTCCATTGCTCTTTGTTCTCTGGAAAGACCCAAACAAACAGTGCCACATGCCGATCAGCAGGCTTTGTGTGACATAGACATAAAGCGATGAACCGATATCAGTCGTTCCACGTTCAACAGCACTTGCTTGCTCGCATTACTGGTATCCCACCGGCTATTCTACATCAGACCAAGCTTTCTGGGCACTGGTCTGGGCCGCCTTCGTCGACTAAACGTTGTTTAGACGTCTTACGGCTGACGCGTTGGTGGCACCAGGCTAGTCTCTTGAAGTTCTCTAGATCTGGGTCCATGTTTGATGATAAGCTTGAGCTCCTAGCCGAGCCAGGTCCTGAAATCCTCTGTAGATTTGGGTTTCCCCGGTGTGCATTCTTTTTAATGGGCTGGGGAAAGTTTGGCAATGTCGGCGTGGGCTTAGACTGGAGATGCACGTGAAAGAATTGAGCTGGGTGTGCCAGAAGCTATTAAACTGATCGGCAGTGAAGCCTTGCCGTTGTCAGCTTTGCTGTGTTTTTGTCGAAAGAGCATTCGGATTGCAGATTGCGAGGCTCGTCCTGCGAGGGATCATGGGGTCCGGAAAGAGCACGTTGGCGCGAGGGCTCGCTGCTGAGCTGGGCGCGGTCTGCATCAGCGCCTTGGAATATTCATGACCTTGCATTGGACATGTTGCACCAGCTGCATTGCCAGACGAAGCACGGGGGCGAAGGTCAAGATGACTACGCACATCATGGCAAGGATGCGCGCCACTCTTCGTTCCTGGACGAGGCATTCTTGATGAAGCCCTTTGTGACTGTCATTACACCGCCCTGTTCCAGGTCCGGCAGTCAGCTTCCTCGGTGGTAATTCTGGATCGAGTGAACTCCCTCCGTCGCCATCGAGTGGAAATTTTGGAAGTGCTCGATGATGATGGTGCCGCTGTGCTACTCTCGCTCTTCCACCCTGCCGACCCTCCAGGACGCTTTTCGCTGGGCAAGGGCTGGGTTCGAACGTCTGAACTCGTAGTCGTAGCGGTCCTGGCGATTTGGCAGGTGATGCAGGAGCTGCTGCCCTTCAGCTCTGTGAAGCTCGTGTACAGCAACGTGGGCATCACCAGACACTTTCTGGGAGCAGGCCCTGCTAAGCCTCAAGCTATCTGCATGTTGAGTCGTGGATTGCCTGGGACATGCCTCAAGAAAGTAGGAATGTATTAGCCAGGACAGACTTGTCATCGATTCTGCGATGCACAGCAAACCTCATGGAGCCCATCACAGATGCGGAGGTGGCAGACTTTTTTGCCCACGTTCGGGTGGACATGACGATGTCGCCGCAAGATGCCTTATCTTTCGTTCTTGAGCAGCTCAAGTGTTTGGGCTTGGTAGAGCAAAATGAAGCTGGACGTTGGAATGCACGCGCAGTTGGTGTAGTTGCGCCTCCCCGAGTGGATGACAATCAGCGCCGGGGCTATACAGACGCTGTGACGGAGATCTTCCAGTTTGCGCCACCCGGATTCTTCGAGTGCGAAGCTCCACGTAAGCTTCGTTTACGCGTCTCTTTCGAGCTTGGGGCTGGTCTTCATCTGCGGCCGTCCTGGCACGGAATGATTGTGGATGAGATAGAAGACTCACCTGGCCAACCTGGCTTGAGGTTAGGCGACTGCATTCGACAGATACAGGCGCCAGGGCCAGGGGTGACATGGCAAAAGCTTCACGACCTCGGACATGAGGACTGTGAGTTGCTGTTTGCTCAGTCCTTTCAAGATGGTGCTCAAGTATTGCTGGAGCCCCATTGCGAGACTTCCGGAAATCTGCCAAAAGGACTGGAAGGCCTACTGGATGTGAGCATGCTTCGAGCAGATTTGGCGAGCTTCGGTATGGACTTTGATGTGGAGCTTCACCTTTGCTGGCCAACTCATGCCGCACGGCATGCAAAGCATGTTTTCCTTTGAGTTGGTTATTCACCACCCGGAAGGTAAGCTGTAAAGCTGCTGTGTGGCCATGCCCTTCTGTCTGCAGGTCGTGCTTGCAGGCCCAAGGCCTGCTGTCGCCGCCGCGCGTCTACCGGCATCGCAACTTCTGAGCCAACACATCCAATCGACATCGTCATGCGGAAAAGCTGTGCGCTGGTAAAAAGCCGGCTCTTCCAGTAGACTTGATTCCACGAGGGCCCCATCAATCGACCTTGGCACCTCTAGAACTCTTGCAGCGTCTAGACAGTCTAGACCAGCTTCAACAGGTGGAATGTGGGTGACGACGAGATGAAATTTTCAACTCTCCTCGCAGCGTTTTGTGCAGTTGGCTTTGCCTGCTCGTGAGGTCGTGAGGTGGTCCAGCTACTGCAATGGATGAGAAGCCGGCCTCCTGCCTGGGCGATCCGGAGCTTCCACAGAAGCGGACTCGCAGGCTGCACCAGTCGGAACTGAATCTTCGGCCACAACCTGCTGGTTCTGCCAACTTTTTGCTGATCCAGTCCTGGGCGATTCCTGATCCAGAGCCATGTCCACAGATCTGTGAATTGCTTGTTCAGTGTCTGGCATCTACAGTATCGCACTAGTTGGACTCATCTTGCTGCTACACGTTGCGAGAATCTTGTGCGTAGTGCTTGTGTAGCGTACCGCATGCAACCGGCATGCGTGACCCACGCCCATTTTCTTCCGTGTGTTGGATCAGGAAGCACCACTCCATTTTTGTGCAGATGACTCGCGTGTGGACTACCATTGGTGTGCTCCAGACGGCGATGTGTGCAAGCGCTGGGAGCAGAACGACGGCCTAGCAACTGAACCCCAACACTCTGATGCTGGTTGGACGGTTTGGTGCTTTTGTGGCGAGCGGATGCAACTCATTTCGTCTGAAGAACCTTGCCGATTAGAGCTCTCCTGCACATGCCCGATCTGTGGCAAATTCGCACAAACTGGACTTCGCTTCTTAGCGATGGGGGATGACATCTGGCATTGCGCCACGTGCGGGGCGACCGAGCAGACCAAGAGAGGATCTCGAGAACCCTTGGGGATACCGGGCTCACCAGAACTACGGATGCTACGCGAGCAAGGTCATGTGCTTCTCGAGTGTGTGCGCCTGTCGCTTGGCAAAGATGCCGCTTACAAGGCTGTCGGACAGCACTTCCACTTTGGGCAGTCTGGCGTCGCAGATGCAGTTCGTGCAATTCATGCACTGCGGCAAATTGTACCGAAACAGTCGGATGCCAGCCTGCGAGTCTCCGCCCAAAAGCGGCGCCTCCTCCGTCTACAGGACGACGACTCCAGCTGTCGTGCATTGGCTACTGAGTTGAAAGAGGACATGTCCCAGGATTTGAAGGACACTTTGCTTTTTGGCTTTGCTAATGCGGGGCATGCCAACCTGCTGCGACTCTTGCTGGAAGCAAGATGCAGCGCCAATGTGCAACGCACGAAGGACGGATGTTCGCCTTTGCATTGTGCTCTGGTTCATGGCAGGCACGATGCAGCAAATGTGCTAGTTGCTCATGGTGCCTCACGTGCTTTGCGCAATAATGCTGGCGAGAGACCGGACGACCTTGCAACCTCATGAGGGTGCAGCTTGACGAAATGCGAGCCAACCGATGCCTACTTCAACAGGCGACGCCATTGGGAAGAGATTACAACTGCCCGATCGGTGGCACATACGTCGACACTGAAAAAGGGGCCCACGTGAAGCTTCTAGATGGGTGCCCTCAGCAGGCTGATTGAACTGCTCAGGTTCAGACTAAGAAGGAGAAGGCCCTCTCGCTCGTCCGAATGCTGGCTTGTGGTCTGCGTATATTTGTAACCTGTGGCGTGCAGGATGTGCAGCTGTTTCATGGTGCACAGATCCTGGTGCCAGCCTCAGCCTATTTCGCTTTCCATTTCCCACAAATAAGATAGTGCCCATGCGAGTAGCCCCAGACTTGATATGCGCCGAACGAGGTTCCGATGCAGCTGAAACAGAACCAGGCTCCAACCGACAGGGTTGCACCTCAGCAACGTCTGCAAAGAGACAGGCCCGCGAGGCAGAATGCGTCGAGTAGCGACAGAGAGCTGAGGCCTGGTTAAAGGTGGATTTTGATGATCCAGACCTTGGGGCAGAGGACTTGCTTTGCTCGTGTCCTGCCACTGTCCTTATGGTTTGCTTTTGTGCTTGCTATTGAGTCATGTTAAGGTCGCGAGACAGTCGGATGATGCGTGCCCAGCCCAGAACATGGTTTTGTGATGTTTTGTGGCTACAGAGACATCAAGGACGATCGGGAAAATGCAGGATGGCACAGCTTCAATTGAATGCTGTTTCTGGCAGGGTCTTGGCCCGAGCGGTCTTGTAGTAGCCATGGCGACCAGAGTGGCCAGCGCTGCAGTGGCACAGCTGCAGAGGGCCGGTCAACAGGGCTGTTGTCAGCCTGTTGTTGCCTCGCTTGCCTCGCAATCGCAGCCGAGGCGTTTGCCCTGTTGCTTGGGGCAAGCCTGGTGGGCGTGGCAGAGGCGAAGGCCATGTGCAAACAACTCATCACGACTCCTGGCAATGCAGTGTTTTGAAGTCCAGGCGAAAACAGAGGATGGCAAGTTCTGCATGGCGAAGTCATGTGATGCAGTGTCCCGGCCGGTACTCATCAGGTATCATCAGAATCTGGCTGCCCTAGCTAACCCTCGAATGAGCCAGCTGCCGCTATCGTGACTAAATGCAATGCTAACTGCTTTGCATGGAAACGTCCCGGCTGACAGGATGGACACTGCGAAGAGCGCAGCTGTGCGATGCTAGATGCAGCAGCAGACTCGAAGCCTGCCGCAAAAGGCAGCTTCTTTCAATTGACGGTGAGCCCATCTCTGTGAACAGCAGCATATTACGTACCAGTGCAGAAACTGAGGCATGATCATGTCGTGCCAGGGCGTCTTGGCTTTATTGACTGCTATACAGTTTGCACCGGTCCCCACTGTGATTGTAGACTTGTCAGCATGTCCAGGCTGAAAATTGAATCACTTTGCTGACGTCCGCCGGTGGCTGAAAGAGGAGCAGCGCTGGAAAGAATGGCAAAACATGGAGGCCACAAACTCCCTGGTTGATGAGACGAGGCAAGCGCAGTTCTTTGTCGGCAGGTGCGCTGGGTGCAAGGGCACAACCCAGATCTCATCGTCATCGAAAATGGAAATGAAAAGGACCCGGCTGTACTGCTCCATGCTCGCACTGCGTGCAGCGCCACAGTCCCTGCGCGATCCTGGTTCTTACATTTGCGTACACTGCGACAAGGAAAACCAGCCTCAGCATCTCCCACAGCTTTCCGCATTTTAAAGCCCAGCAGCCTCGCTATTCACAGACATCCTTCTTCTCAACTCGTGTCAGCCTACGGCATAAACGAGTTGGACATGTTGAAGCCACCCAAACAGGAGAGGATCGATCTTACACAGTACTCCTACAGACTTGGCCTCGGAACGGGGATGGTGCCCTTGACATTCTGATTGCTGCCTGCTTCGCTCTGCTACGCACTACCAAGGCCAGATTCCCGACATGCTCAGGCAGAAAGGCTTCCGCATGCAGGGTGAATTCTAGGTCATCGTAGCTTGATGTGCTGCCCACATAGCCTTCAAAGGGGTTCGTGCCCCATGTGAAGAAACATTTTCTCGCATGCTGTGGCGTGCAACGTAGTTCTTGTTGGCCAAGCTTCGGCTTTCGACTCTTCCGGTTCTGGAAACTTCAAGTGAGCCGCTTTCCACTCACTGCCGGTGATGCTGTCTGCCTGGACTCAACTAGGTGGCAGCTGAGTGCCGTGATTGTGGAAGTGGGCGTCACTTGTCGTCCCAGCGCTTGTCGAAAGTCTTGGCAGCCTGGAGCGGCCACGTAGCGATACATTTTTTTGTGTTTTACATGTTTGGACGCACATCGTAAGCTGTGCTTTGCTGTCGGTGTGGCTTTCAGACTTTCGATGAATTCAGTCCACCCTGCCTTGTCGTCAATTACCATTCAGCAGACGTGAAAAAACACTTCCGGCCGAGCAGAAGGTGTCCAATCAAAGAAGGAGGCCTTGTGAGGCTGAGGCTTTCTGCAACGAGGCAGGCAGATGCAGATGCCGGCGGCGGGTCCGAGCCTTTCATCTCTTCTCAGCACTTGGCTTGTCGCCATTTTTCGTTGGAAGGCCGGCTCCAAGAAAAAAGCTCCGGCCTCGGTCTGGCTCTGCTGTGGTATGCAGATCTCGCGGCATGCAACCAGGTCCGATGGGAAGGAGGAGAATGGCGACAAGGAAGGTGACAAGGAGAACGACGATAGCGATGACAAGGAGGAGGACAAGCCAGATGATAAGGAGGAGGACGACGAAGACGGTCCCGACCCCAGCCCCAGTTGCAAAGCCAAGTCGATAATTTTGGCATCTTGACGAAACATGTCTGCACCATGAGGTGACGATGAGGATGGTGAAAAGACCCGGACGCAGCATCTCGGCCTTACACGGGTTGTGGTGGTGGTTGTTGTTGTCTGGGGGGGCAACGTGCTGGCCTATTTGCCGAACACATGCCAGGTGGGAAGTGTGCATGTATCGCGAGTAGTGGCGGGTCTTTTTTCCATGGCAAGAACCATGCACGCGGTTCTGCCCCATGGATGGGGACCTCGGGAACTCTCACCTCTCCTCTCGGCGCATAGGTTCGTGGATTTGTTGATGAAGCCCGATGCTCAGACATTCCCTGGAAGTTCGGGAAAAGGTCCGGACTCACAGCCGTGTTCAGTATGTCTCTTGGCGTATGTCGAAGCTGAGGGCAAAAGAGATCTCAGCCGGCACTACTTATGAGGCGACATGCAGCTTGTCCCTCGCCGCTTTGGTGCAGTGAATTCACTCGTGTGAGCTGGTCGCAGGATGCCGAAGGTCTTCTGAGTAAGAGGGCAGCCTGGAAGGCAGGCATTGCGCGGCCTTGCGACGTCGCATAGTGGGTGAGTTACATCCCTGTAGGCTGTGGATGAACAGACTCGGAGGGAGTGCTTTGAGATCTTCGTGGACCACCTTGCCACGCATACAGGCCGGAGTGCATCAACGCATTGTGAATCAGCTACGGGCTCCGTCTGTACTTCATCAAGCAGGTAAGAAGAAAAAGAAGAAGGACAAGGTCGGACGATAAACGACTGCAAGACCACCACGACAGAGCAAGTGTCAGTGTCACCCATTCCAATCAATCAACATGTAGCTTCTTCAGGCGAAAAAAGGCAAAAAGCATGGCCCTCTGCACTGGCTAGTCGCTGTGTGGTTCTATGGCGTCGCCGGAATAAGGCGAAAACACAAAGGGACCGAGGAAGAGGCAGCGGAAGAGGATGATGAAGAGGATGCACCACGTCAAGAGCTTAGTAAATACTGCGTTCACCCCTGGATGTTGCGCAACTGAAAGGGAAACGAAGCCGTGCTCGCATGCAGTACTCGTAGCCTTGGCAGTGAAAATTGGATGCCCAGATGTGGTTCGATTTCTTGTTGAAACTGCTTGACACACCTGCGCAATGCTAAGATAATTCTTACGATGTTATTGTTCTCTGGCAGCACTCCTATTGTCAGATGTCGTGCAATTGCAGAGGGATGACAGTATGCGAAGTTTGCGACACTGTACGTACAGACGAGGCTGCTGTTGATGTCAGCGGCCAGCGTCTTTGCCGAGGCAAAAAAAAGAAGTCCAAAAAGGGTGCGCCCACCCACTTTCAGCCAAGATCGGTTGGTGCTCAGGGGGACGGGTAAGCTGGCAGGGGAGAGGAGAAAGAAAGCGCGGAGCAAGTCATCCTGAGCTGCAGCTTGGTCGCGACACTTTGCTTCTGGTTGGCATAATGCATTGCTGGATGCAATCATCACCTTCCGCTTTCGTTCAAGCTTTTTGGGCTCTGGCTTCTGCAACTTGCGCTCATTGCTTCCGTCTCGCAATTCGTAGGCACTTACGACCGACATCAGTCTCCCACTCTGCACCTTTTGTTTCTGTTTGCATGTGATGCCTGCATGCTTTGTTAGGCAGACGCACTTGGCAGGAGCAGTGCGATGCTGCTTCTATCGGGCACTGATGCCGTGCTTGTGCAATATGCTGCCAGCACATTCAACAAATGCAGCGCAGATGTAGACCCTATGTTGTGCTGGCAGCATATGCCACTCAGCAGCGATTCGTCTGTCAGAGCCTTCTGACGGTGTCCTTGGCAGGAATGTTAGAACTCGCCCAGCCTGTCATGCATGGCAGAGAAGGGCCATTCCGCGTCAATGCCCTGCTGCACAGGAAACACCAATTGATGTGGCAGAAAAGTCGAGTTAAGCAGTCATGATGCGGAGATGCGGAGGCTTGCAGCCTCTTCTGTGTTGGACAGCATGCAATTGCAAGACTGATCCAAGCAGAACTCGAGACCGCTAGGCTGGGGAGATAAAACGGAAATCCAGGACAGATTGAGGCTGAAATTCAACGGCTTTCGCCAGCTCATCAAACTGCATCTTGCAATTTCCTAGTGTCTGGCAAATGGCCTTGGGGATGTTTTGGGCTGCCGTCGCCACTTGGCTGTGGTTTGCAGTAGACTCTCATGTTGCACTTAAGTGGCGAACACCGCCGCGGTGGTGCAGCGGATGTACACGGCGAGGAGCTCAGGCCAAGGTGCTGGCAGATTCCGACCGACAGTTCACGTGTCCAAATGAGGCTGAGCTGTTGCTGGCAGATGCTGCTAGCTTCCAGCACAATCTCGCGAAGCGGAATGCAGACGAAGTGCCACAGGCACTTGAGGGCTCGCATGCGCATGTCGTTGTCCTTCCCAGTGGTGCTTGCGAGGCATGGGACGCTTTTACCCGGTACATTACTGAAGTCATGGGAAAGAAGCAGACCCTGAATGTTTCGAACTCCAGCTGCAGAACTGATTAAGGGCCTGGCGGCCTTGCGGGGTGGAAGCTGGTGACTCTTGTGCAGCGACTGTTCAGGAATTTTTGCAGGATTGGCTGGAAGGAGATCGCCCCAGATGATCCGTGCATTCCGATGTTCAGCATGTACAGAATCCTGACATCGAGGTGGAAGAGGGTCTTCACCAGCCTCGCATGAGGTCGCCTGCCACCATGTGCGCTCTGGTTGATCAAACGGTTTGCCAGGCCACACTTCAACATTTCCGATGCACGTTCCCCAGATACGCCGAAAGCATGGGAACTCACACAGGCAATTCTGTATTGTTTCCCTCCAGGCCTTTGCGATAAGCTGCCGAGCAGACGCACGTTCCCAGCTGCAGGGGCCCGCTCACAGTGTGGGCCTTCGATACTGCATCGCAAGCTTGCTCGCCTGGTTCATGGTGGTTGTGCTTCAACCCGAGGTTTGACGCACGTTGAAGAGTCGCCCCCCCGGATATGAAGACATATGAAGACATGCGGCAGCATTCTTCTGCCTTTTCTTGAGCCCGAGGTTCAACTTCAGTGCATCGCTCGGGGAACTGGTGTTAAGCTTGTGCCTTCGTGGGCTCAGGGACCGTCACTTTGCGCACTTCATGCTCAGGCAAATGTGCCTTGAAATTCTCAAACGGTCTCACCAAAGACCGGCTGTTCATGTGTGTCGGACTCGGACTGAAGGGTGTGCGCAGGTGGTCGTCTGCAGAGCCGAGCAATGTTTCTGCTTCGCTCAGCTGTTGTGCATTTGCGTGACTTGCGGTAATCGTTACAGCAACTGCCATCGAGATTGAGTCAATCTCATACTTCTCCATCCGTCTGTACTTGCTGGGGTGGAGACCCTGAGTGCGGTGTGCCTGCCATGATGGGGCGACTCAGCATGTGGCTTGTGGTGCTGGCGCTCGCCTCAATCTGCGGAAAGGGTGCGATGCGTGAACACATCGCTAGACGATGCAGTTCAAGGTCAAGCAGTTCATGGGCACGTGCGTGGCTTCTATGTCAGTGGCCGAGAGAGCGAGCGGGGCCTTGTGGGGTCTCTTTGCTGGTGATGCTCTGGCAATGCCTGTGCCCCATGGCGGGAGAAAAGGTGTGTGGGGTTCGCTTTGATCGGCTATTGTCGGCCTTGTCGCGTGTACTCACCGAGGCACTGGTACTACGGAGGGGCAGATCAAATTCGAGAAGATTTCGGTGGCCAGCTTCTGTCTGGTTTTGAGCGTTCAGTTCACCCTTTCCCGGATTCCATCATGCAGCTGAGCAGCACCGGAGGAGGTGGTAGAGGAAGCAACGAAGGAGATGTAGTCGGAGGAGCAATCCTGCACGGCAAAAAGGAATACTGGCGCCGTGGTGGCCAGTATCACTATCATCATACCTTGGACGCTGGTGAAAACACGCTGGAAGCATCGCTTGTGCGGGTTGTGTTGCAGAGCCTGAGGAGCACAGGTAGGTTTTCGGCGAGCGACTTTCGAAAGCGATACATTGAGTTCATGACGACACCTGGCACGCACAATGACACCTATGCTTCCACTTGCCACCGCATGTTCTTCCAGAAATGGCGAGCAGGTGTTGATCCCAAGGACTGTCCAGACAACGATGGTCACAATGTCGATACGATGGATGGTCTGGTCATTCCCACCGTAGTCGCTTTGATCTCACTGGCCCAGGGCGAGGATGTCGCAACTGCTGCTGCGCTCGCGGTGGAAGCATTAGCGGTGACACGATCATCTGAGGCGTTGCCCCCCCCCCCCGCCCCCTGTTCCCCAATGCTTTCACTCACAGCAGCTAGCTTGTAGCTAGCTTCGCCTTTCGCGACAGGTGCTCCCTGAATATGTCAGGACTACGACCTACATGCTGGATAAGGTGGGCGCACAGTTGCAGTGCGCAGCGTTGCCAGCTCGGAGCCTTCCGCTGTCCTTGCAAGGTCATGCGCGGGACGTCCTTGGACCATGCTTCCATGCAGACTTCGCTGGAGGCGTTTTGTGAGCCTTTTCCATGGACTGTATTTGGAGCCTTTTCCATGGCCTTGAAACCGAGGTCTACGAGAGCGCTGTCTTTGACAGGAAGCGCCGAGGGACGGATCCGGCTTCTCGGGAGCACCGTCGGAACTTGTTGGTGATGTTGTCGTGAATTGAAATGATTGCTGGAAAGCGGAGGCGCTTTAAACGAGATTGGGTATCCAAGGGCTCTTTTCGGCTCTTAGCTGGCATGCCCAGATAGCACCAGGCAGCACCAGTTCGAGCCAGTGAGCGTGCATGCCCTAAATTATGTCGATGGACGTGCCTTAGGAGTAAGTGTAGTTGCGTCGATGGATGTGCCTGAGGGCTACATATCATCTGGACTTACCGGAGTCCCCTTTAAGTTCGTCGACTACAGATTCTGCCGATAGACCCTAGGCCCTAGCTGGGTGTGCAAAAGTCGCGTGTCGTCTGTATTTTCGACTTGAGTTCTCTTACGACCGCTCAGCTTCAGCAGGAAATCTACCTGACACCCGATGCTAGTGATAGTGACGCACATCGTTCCCGAGCTTAGCAGTGCGTCCTCTCGCAAGTCCTGACGTGTCGTGGGTATTTTTGAATATCTGTGCACATTCCTGCGAAGATCCCGGCAATATTCCCGGGCACCCTTATTTTTGCAACTCCGGATCGGTCAGAGCTCGCCAACTTCTCCCAGTACTTGACCGGGCCAGGGCATAAACCAGAGATGCTTCCTGCCCTTAAGCGATTGCTCTGGGCTGGATTTCTTCCGGGTGCGTCCGTTCTTCCGGGGGGCACTCTGTTTGCAAATCTGGTCATGCTTGCTCTTCTTGATCAGGCTGCTCTTGTACCCACAGTTAGGCTCTCCGAGAAACAGCAAGTTTCACAGGATCAAGGGGCCGTCAATTCAATGTAGGGTGGATGCATCTTCAGAGCGTTGATGTGAGGTTGTTGCTTGCTACATTGGTGGCTCATTCCCGGCATTGTGCATGCCTCAGGCCTGTGCATCTTAAGATGAGCACGGCCGTTCGTTGAGACGAGAGCTCATGTGGAGTCGACTCTGCAGCCGTGCCTCGAGCTTTCGGACACAGCATGTGACAATGGAAGGCCTCATACTGCGAGCCTGCCGCACGAGTCCTGCCGACAACCACAACCCGGGGGCACGTATCCCCAAAGGACGTCGTAGTCCAGTTACCGTGGCACTCCAGCCTGCCGGAAGCCATGCTCCTGGCGGGCCCCGCGGCTCAGCTGCTGGATCTGGCCTACGTTTCTTCTTCAGGCTCAGAGGCAGGAAGAGCAGAGAGCGTTGAGAGCCATGTGTAGCGCCGTGATCGAACCGGGCATTTGAGACCAGGAAGTGCAACGACTTGTGCGGCACAGCTTGCCCGTACCGGAAGAGTCTCAGTTTGACTAGCCGCGCCCCGTTGCCGCTAACAAAGTCGCTTGTAGTGGTGCGCATAAATTAGAGTCGCTGAGGAGCTGTCGAACTACTTGCAGTTCCTGGCTTCTGGTGGTGACTTGAGTGTGACTTGACGGAACTAGATTCAGCGCATTGGGTTTGCAACTCGTGGAAGCTTCTCCTCGTCGTGCTTGGTGATCAAGTTCTTTGCTTGTGGATGCCGGCACGGTATAAGCGTGCGGCCGAGGATGCAGCTGCAAACCTGTTCGGTGAGGACTGTGGCGTGCCAACCGTTTGGCGCAGAAGCTGCATTACCTGCCCTTCCTTGCAACCCGCAGTCTGCATGCCTGGGCTCAAAGTTGGGAGCACTGTGGAAAATTTGTGATCGATGCCGTTCCTATTAACAGCTGGGCTTCAAATTTCAGCGGGTAAGCCAGATTCTAGATGATCTTATGCATTTATGAGTCTGGAGTCCTGTTCTCCACTATCCGAGAGGCTAAGAAGCACAAACGAAGTGCAAGTCGTCTTCTGAGCCCGTTCTTTCGCCATGGTCGTGCTGGAGGACACGGGAATGGAGTGCATGGCATCCACCGAATCTCAGCGATAATGCATGCAGGACGGTGAGGATGGTGTCATGCAGTACCTCAAAGAGAAGCAGAAGACTGCGGGGGCAGTGAGGCGGCAGAAGGCCAAAGTATCGTTCCCCGTCCGCAAACCCATGGTTGTTGTTGCTGTGTGGCTTTGTCACGTGAACAAAGGTCGGAGGCAGATGCAGCTATGGAGTACCTGAAGGTCGCATGTTTGTGCTGCATAAAAGTTCAGCGAATGTATCCGGACCGGATTCTCTGGAGGGGCAGCTGACAAAGAACGGGCAAACAGCACGTGCTGCCGTCAAAGCGAGCCCCAGAGAGCTGAACTTAGTTGCTCGAGCAGTGCGACAGAAGATCGAGGCTCTGTGATTTGCAGACTAAGGCCGGATCAAGGGAATTTCTTCGAGGCATCAAGCTGTCAGACATGTCTTCAGCTCCATCCCAAAGCCAAAGGACAGGATGAGTGTCGGATCTTGCCCTTGGTACACCTCTCCTGAAAGAATCAGCTCTATAGCGTCCCCGCAGGAAGAGTCGACTAGACAATCCAGCAGGACGGTCGCATCATGTGTTGGCACAAGTGTTGCAACACTGGCTGCCTCGTCTGCGGGAAAGACACCCTGAGGAGATGCGGCCAACGCCTTGAAGAAGGTTGCGAAGTCGACTGGCAAACCATCGCCTTTGTCAGAGCGCACCAAGCCGAAGACACCGGAAGAGAAGACTGAAACCGCCATAGACAAATCTGCTTGCGATGCATTATCTTCTGGGGGGGACATCCGGATGTCGCTCCAGCTCATGCGCGACAAGACTGGGATACAGCGAAGTGCTTCAGCGAAGCGGTGCCGTGCTGCCAGGAAGGACGTAGGACCCCTGGTGCGAACAGCCCGCAGTGTGAGGCTTCCGGCCAGAGCGAATGAGATGATTGGTGACACTGCGCCATCGGACGTTACTGTCAAGCCTTCGGAGACAAGGGCTGTAACATCCGCTGTGCAGACTGCCCCTCCCAAGAGTCCAGTGGTCTCCCCGGTCCTGACTGTGAGGCACGTACTTCAGGAGACACATACAAATGTCTTCAAGCCACAAGGCTGTAAAGCTTTGTCGTCACCACCCAGTCCTTCACAATGGCTCCGCAGATCGCCGCATCTGCAAACCCGCAGTGTTGCCAGGTCTCCATCGCCTCCAGCTGCTCCAGCAGAAGAGGTCCCAGGAAAAGAGACCGAGGCGACGGTGACCTCAGCCGCTGCGCCAGCCCCAACCGTACAGGAAACCAAGAAAGCGAGCGACTGTGCTTCCGCCATCGCGACGGAGTCCAGCGCGCTTCGGTCACCACCTGTCCCGTGGCAATTTGCAGCTGGTGTTCATGCACAGCCTGCGACGGCCGCTCGCAGTGCGGCTCGTGTGGAAGGGGTTCGAAGCTGCCACGACGGAGACAAATGGCCGAAGCAGCCCAACGGATTTGCAGCCGGCTTTGGAACCCCGACCGGACCTGGGCATGGTCATTGCGGGACCTGGATGCCGTGGACACCGGCACGTAGCATCCTGCTGCCACCAGGAAGTGTGCACCTCCGGCCTCAGCAGCCTCACATCAAAGTTGCTCGTGTTTGTGCGACACCTCCGGCTCCCATGACTCCTATGACTCCCATAATGCAAAATCGCGACAGTCGAGATGAGGCCGTGCCGCAGAAGGCCGTGGTCGGTCGTCCCAACGTTGCGATTCCTTGGTTTCCGAAGACGGACCCACCGACAGTTCCACACACCCCGCAGATCCCATGCCCACAGCTTCAGCAAGCTTCGATGTCCAGAGGCATGTTTGCAGGGAGCCCCACCAGAAGGAGGCAGATTAATGTGTAAGGTCAGCACGGCCGGTGTTTATGAGTTGTACAGAACTCCAATGAAGGGCAAATGCCTCTTCAATGTACATTCACGGTCGGGCGGAGATGTATGGATTTGTTCAGGTTTCCGGAGTCTGTTGTCAGCAGGCAATACCAGACAAGTATAACTTACTGATTCGGAAGTCGGTAGGCATGATTTGAACATCTCCAGCTGCTGGATGCCTGTCTGAGAGCAGGCACTGAATTTGTAGTGTTTGTAGTCGGCCAATGCAACTGAGCACCTCGGAAGCGCTGTAAAAACGCATGAGAGAAAACAACCGCCTTCAGCACTCGGAGTGCAAGCGGTTTGCAGGAGGCGGAGGTGTCGGAGCTGCAACGGTACCTCGGTTATGGCTTGCACCCTGCAGTTCTCCGCCGTGATTTCACGAAAGGCCTTACCTGGGCAGCGACCACGCTCTTCTCGTGTCCTCGCCGTGTGTGGCGGCTTTCCTCGTGGCGCTCTTCTCAGAGGTCGCGCAAAAGGCCAAGCTGGAGCTCTGTGGCCTCGACCTGAGGTGTCGGCTCGGATGGCACGTTGTTGTCTGTGCTTGCAGCCCAGGGTGGGACCTCTACCACGGTGGCCTGGCTTCGTGGTTTTCAAGTCAAGTTGTGTCGTTTGATAGCTGTGCATCTGGTTGGATGAACTGCAGGCCACCTCGTGTTCTTCCGGCACTGCAAGTCTCCTTCGATTTTCGAGCTCGGAATCCTATTCCACGCAAAAGAGCACCCGGTGGAGTTCACCAGCCGGATGGGCCCAATGCTTGAGGTGTGCTCGCCAGAAGCCGGTGGGAAACGCGACCCTCGCAGACTGACGAAGCTGTCGATAGACTCGCCGGGCTTCAGCGATCGCAACTTCCTGTGGCTATTGTCTCTGAACTCAACCTTCGGCATTCGCTTCCCACAAGCAAAGGCCAGCAAAACTACAGCAAACGCTGACTGTGACCATCGTGCGTCAGCACCTGTGACCTCTCTGGCTTGGCAGCTCGTGGCACCGGGTGCTGCGGGCTCGCGGTTCTTTACCATAGATGAATCCAACTTCGGGCTGCAGCTCGGTTCTCTGTGCTACCTGCCAGAGGGCCATGACCCCGCGCTTCCCAGCCAGGGCAAGGTAGGAGAAGCCTTCAAATGTACTCCTTGTCCCGATGTCCGCCGCCGGCTGCCTGCATAGAGTAAGAGAAATTCTATTCCATGTTTGGTCTTCGCATCAGGGGTAAGATTCCGCTTCCCATGGTCTGAGCAGGTCTGGACATAAGCTTTTGTGATACGTAAGTACTCCAAATGATGGTGGCATAAGCAAGCTTCTGGACAGACTTTAGAGACTGTGCGGAGGTTCATTAGGAAAATAACTAATAACGGCTCCTGAATCAGTCTACATCGAGCACTTGGAGGCGTAAACATGCGAAATGGCACAAGGGGAGATCATTGGAAAGGCACAAAGGCAACTCCTGAGGATTCAGCAGGGTGTCCGAGGCTCAGAAAAGGGCTTACATGACGTGTACATAGAATTCGGTGAAGGTGTACAGTGACATGATAAGGCTTACAGAGTGCAAAGATGCCAGGAGCTTCTCAAGGGTTTCTGTAGGCTTACAGTACCCTTTCGCCTGCGTGGTGCATCTCCCAGGCGACATCGTCTGCATTCCCTGCCACGGCTTTCCCGCTGACTGGCATCTGGCTCGTGAACTGGGCAAGCAGCCGCTTGCGAATGAGATGGAGGCTGTAAGAAGGCTGCGTGACGTGGATGCCGACCTGCTTCAAGTTCTCAGCAGCTCCGATGATGTTTCCTTGCCGCGCCGCAAGCGCTTAGAGAGATTGGGGTCCCGGGGTCGGCGTCGGCGACTCCTTGAATGTGCAGAGCAAGAGACTCTTGCCTTCACTGCGGCCACAGTCTAGATAAAGGCAGGCAAACGGAAAGGCCACGAGGGTGACTGGCAAAAAGGTACCATCGGCGTCGGGAAGTGCAAGAAAGGGAGCTGAAGAGGCGCCAGGATGCGGCAGTGGCCCAGCTGGTCGCCAGCGGCTTCCATGTCACCGATGTGCAGGTGGGCGAAGTTTGTCCTGTGTACAAAAAAACCGAACTGCAGCCATGTTCTCCGCCAGGAAGTGCTACCACATTGCGACGGTAGTACCGTAAGATGTGAGGCAGTGTTGAGGGTGGCATTCGCAGCCTGGTTGCGCTTCTGTCGAATATCACGTCACTGGCTGCTATTCCTGCCGTGTGTTGTTTTTCTGGATTCCAGCAGTGTTTCGCAGTTTTCTGGCAGTCTTTGCCTGTGGGCCTTTCTTACGCCGGCAGTCAGAGGCAAAATACCGTTCTTCTGCAGAGCAAGCTGCAGCCGATGGCTTGGGCGACGTGAATGCAGCAGAGGCAGCCCGACTTGCATGGCAAATGTGGATGACGTGACTCATCACAGCTGAGTCTCTTCGATACATGCATCCAGGCACATCGAGTGCTCTTTGGAATCTCGCCCTGGCACTGCGCTTATCAGAAGCGGCATGTGGATTTGGAGGTCATTGGGTGCCATGCTTGGCAGCGGCTGTTCAGGCTTGGTGGCTGTCCAGTGCTGGGTTTGCGAGCTTTGTCCTCTTCGGAGCCCTTGCTGGTGGCTGTTGGCCGCATAGCAGCCGAGGAGGAGGTGCCCTGCCCCTGCCCTGCCCTGCTTGTGCCCTTGGCTGGGCGCAGCAGGCACGCTTTCGCCGAGACAGCAATGAGCGCTTCGATCTGTCGATGGCGAAGAAGCAGGCCTTTGCTCGGAACCCTGCTTGTTCGTCCCTCGAGTTCCATGCATGTTCCGTGGGGAGCGATCAGTGAAGCTCCTCTCACGAAACTTTCCCACCAGGCATCCCAGGCATCACATAGCAAGACGAAGCTCATCAAACTGAACTGGGAAGTAGGGGGTGATCTTCGTCCGTTGTGACAGGCAGGCTTCGAGCACTACAGGAGTAAAGAACGCAAGACGTCACAGCCGCGGCGATAATGCCTGGTCGAAGAGTCGCCTCACCATCTACAGCCAACGGAAACATGCACGCCTGCGCCAGACTCGTTCATGCCTGTTGGCTCCGTCATGGGTTGTAGCCGTGAATGTTGCTAACAGAAAACAAAATGAAGGAAGGTAGGAAACCGCTTGCGAGCCAGTTTGTGACACTGTGGGAACCAGCTTCTAGTTGCGGACAAAGGCGACAAGTGAGATGTTACTAACGAAGATAATGACACTCGCTGAAGGCCGACTTGACAGATGTTCCGGTCAACAGGGCAACAAGAAGAGCAAGTCACAGTTTCGATTTTCGTTCTTATGCTTGCTACTGCTTCTATCCACCAGCCAGCGACTCCTGAACTGAGTGGAAGAATGACCTGCATTGCAGCAGCCAGGTCTGTTCCAAAGCAGAGCAGCCGCAGCCGGCGTTTTCCTGGGGCTGTTGCGCTTTGGTTACTGTGATTGAAGCCTCTCTCTTGAGCTATGTGTCTCCAGACAATTTTTGCTTTCCTTCCAGTCGAGAACCATGTGAGGCATTGGGCCACGGCGGGCACTGCGCTACCTTTGTGAATGTCTGCTGCAGTTCGGAGAAAGGAAAAAGTGCGTGAATGCAGAATGTCTACAGTGGCAGATTGCACTCATTGCAGGCGAGGGGACGGATCTGGCTCCGACGATGTTGCGCTGCCTTCAACTGCCTTCTGCGCCGAGGCTTCACTTTGCCTACAAGTATGCTAGCGACGACGCTTGGGATGCCCTCCTGGCTTCTGCAAATGCCGGGGGCGAGAACGTGCACCGCAACGAGGAACGGGGTACGGATCGAGTTTGATGGATGCCAGCGTCGAAACGACTTGCAGGTGCTAGGGTTGCTGCTGGGTGCTGCACAGGGGCGGCAGGGTCTGAAAGCCCAGGAGGAGACTGCAGAGCAAGCTGTAGCTGCGGATTCAACTTTCCGATCTTTCGCTGCAGGAGGGATTGAAGCATTATGCTGAGCTGGAAGAGGCCCTTGCAATGCAGCCTCGGTGGCAAGGAAGCGTAGGCCGCGGGCCTCAGGAGATTCAGGCAGTTGTCGAGCAGGCGCTGCTGGACAGGCCTAGTCGCAATCATGGGAAGCTGCATCCCAACGCTTGAGTTTTCAGGCCTCAGCGACAATGAGATCGTCAGACCTTTGATGCAGGGTGGGCGATGTTTGCCGTGGTCGACACCGGCCGACGCAGCAGTTCAAGGAGTGCTCCTAGCAATCAAGGGTTGAAGAGCTCAAGAGCGATGGACTCTCGTGGACGACGCAAGCGATGGGAATCGCACCAGCATTGGACGGTTGCCGTGGTCGCCGCTAGCGACTGATCCGGTGCGCACACAAGAAAACAGAGTCGGCTGGGGCTGGAGGCTTGTTGCAACGGGCAGAGAGTCACCACCGAAGCAATCAGGCCTGCGGGCGATCATACAGCAGCTTACAGAAGCTCGGCCCTCGGAGCACGGCATCTAGCTGTAGAGACTCCATCGATGACTTGCCTTTGAAGGCAATCGCATCGGGTCGAGAGGCTCCTTTTTTTTGGCACCGGCTTAGCTCCTTCTCCTGTCATCCGCATCAGGTCGGCCTTGAGATGGGCGTCGGCACGCTTCGTTCCAGCCAGCGTGTCGTCAGCTTCAGCTTCTCTGCGGCTCGGCGCCCGGGCCAGGGCACAGCCAGGGGGCACAGGTTTTGTGTTGTTTGCGTTTTCAGGATCTCTATGCGAGCGAGGGCTTGCAGGTGCCGCCTGATGCCGCGGAGCCGAGTCCTCAGAAATCCATTGAACTCCGCGGGTGGGAGTCACGGGTGCGGACCGCGCAGATCCGTGATTCGAGGCAAAGTCGGCCCGCGAAGACCTTCACTCCGCCCTCGAAAGACGCGCTGTCCGGAACCCTGGCCCGGGAGTCGAGGTGGTACTTGAACGGTGGACGCTGCAGGTCTTTGACGGTTGATTCCAACCAGTTCCGTGGCACAGTCAAAGCCCGGGCCTGAGCGTCCACAGCAGCGTGGGCTGGAGTGGCCGTGTGGCCTGGCCGTGTTTGGCGAAGGCAACTGATCTCGGGGGCTTTCACGATAGCGGGACACCGGCTCGGACCCCTTTTTTTGTCCCAGCAAAGCACGCCTTCCATCCTTGCATGGCTGCATTGGCTGCCAGAAGAGGCCTTCACCCTGGGCCTGGGCAGCTCCAGCGGTTCGGTGTCTAAGGAGGAGCTGGCACAGAGGGAGGCCGACTCCGTGCGATGCAAGCGGCTGCAAGCGGCAAGCGCCCATTTCCACTGCGGTTGAGGCCAGGGATCGGCATCTTGCGGACATCAGTGAAGAAGCTGAAGAAGCCGTGCAACAGCGGTGATCTTGGTCAAGGGGCAGGTCTGTTAGTAGTTTTGTGTCTTCTTGATGTTTCTCGCGCGAACACTGGCTCAGCTGTCAGAGCAGGAGAGAGGACGATCGTGAGATTGTTGGGGCCCACATAGGAACCCAATCCGGCCCGAAGTCCCACAGGCACACTCGGCAGCTGTTCAGCTGTACAAGTTGATTCTGGAAGTCGCAGCTTGCCTGTGGATGCCAATGTCTTCAGCTGACGGCGGGAAGCCGGCCCCGAAATCGACGAAGCATGCGAAGACGCCGCTCTTCCCGCCATGTTCGCAGCTAGCATACTCCAGGCGAGATGACTGTCTAAGCTAATCTGTTGAAGCCAGATGCAGCATTGCCGCACATTGTAGCTTGTTTTGCGAGGTTTCTGGACAAGCTGGGGGACCAAAGACGAGCTCCAGAATGGACCTTCAATCGAAGTGCCAGCATGTCTCGAATGCATCTGCTGCACCCCTTGCTTCCTTGTTCATCACTTGTGTTTCTCACGCCATGGTCTGAGGGAGGGCGGAAGCTAGCTGTCTTTGAAGCTCTTGTGGCTGAGTGAGGATTGGGAGGGATCCGTAGGTACAGCGCCGCCATGGCGAGCTACATGATGCCAGGCTACAACATGCAACAGCAGGGCTACCCGCAAATGCAGATGACGGCTGAGCAACAGCAACAGTACCAACAACAGTACCAGCAACAGTACCAGCAACAACAGCAGCAGTACCAGCAGTACCAGCAGCAGTACCAACAGCCACAGCAGCAGCAGTACCAGCAGCAAGGGCAGCAGCAAGGCCAGCAGCAGCAGGCTAGCTCAGGCGGCTTGACTGTTACAGGCTGTGCGGATGCGACTGTTGGCAACATCGTTCGGGGCACTTTCGCCTACCAGACGGAGAACCATGGACGGCCTGTTTACAAGAAGAATGAGCCGGTGGCGAACAACCCCACGCTAGACGTCCTGATCTACTTTTGGGATGAGCGAGATGGTGCAAACTTCTGCGGCTGGTGGTTTGGACCCAAGGTGGGGGGTGATCAAGTCTGGGCGTACAACAGTGAGCGCAGCTCTCAGCCGCCCTCAACCGGTTGGCGTGTACCATATGATGGCCAAGTGGACCCATCTTTTGTCATCAGCTCGGGTCAGCAAGGCGGGGGCTACAGCCAGGCCTACCAGGCATATGGACAACAGGGATACCAGCAGCAGTACCAGCAATACCAGCAACAGTATCAGCAGCAAATGCAACAGCAACAGTACCTCCAGCAGAAGCAGCGGGATGACGAGATGGCCCGGCGAAGGCAGGAAGAACAACGCAGGGCGGAGCAACAAGGGGTTATGAATTGTCAGGCGATCCTGCAGAAGCTGGCTGCTGCAACGCCTGAGAATTATGAACAGCTCAAGGATGAGGTGGAGAAGATGATCATGCAAGAGTTGCCGAAGTGCGGGAGCCAGGCCGAGGTTGTCAAGGCCGAGGTGATGCAGCAGTTCCAAGGCGCGCAGATGCGCGTGGAGCAGATTAAGCAGCACCGCATAGAAGAGGAGCGGCAAAACCAGGAGCGCATGGAAGAAGCCAAGAGGATCCTCACAGAGCTAGGAGGCCTCGTTGAGAAGGCGGAGCAAGACGCAGCAAGCCTCAAGACCACCGCTGCCCCTGTGCTAGGATCCAAGTCCATGAGCGAGGATGAAGCCCGAGAGGCCGGAAAGTCTGTGAGCGAGGTATCCGTTTCCGCAAAGGCCTCGTGCAAGATGTGCTCCAGCTTTATCGTTGAGCGGAGGATGAGCATCGATGTGGTGAAGCCACCCTACCTCGCCGAGCTTCGGGAAGAGCAGATCAAGCTTCAAACCCGAATACAGGAATGCTACAGAATAGTCGTGGCTTCGACAACCTCGGCCAGGGATATGATTGACAAGGCTGTGAGGAAGACCCACGCCATGAAGGTCTACGCAAAGCGCACTTCAGCTTTTGACAAGTACAACTCGGCAAAGGACGGTTATTTCACGGTGGATGACATGATCGCCTATGCCAAGGGCGAGTTCCGTTTCCCGCTGTGCAAAGAAGCGGCATCAACCATCTTGAAGAAGCACGGGGAGGGCATCAGGGGTGTCCCGCGTGCTCGGTTCCAGCGTGTCAAGGTGGCAGTGGGCATTGCCCGCGAGGAGGAGGCCGTCTTAGCACGGAAACGGGAAGCAGAGCAGAAGAGGCTTGCTTTGGAGGCCAAGAAGAAAGTCATCGAGGCCGACATCCAAAAGGTCGTTGACACCCTCACTGATGCAGAGCCCGCAGTGGCAAAGGCCGAAGAGACCGGCCAAGCCGAGCACTTGTCGAGGGAATACCTTGGCGAGGCGCCAGGCAAACAAGAGGTCACCGCCGCCAGCGAGGCTGCCACTAATGCGTTAAACGATGCTCAGGCTGAGTTGTCTGATGTTCGCACCCGCTTAACTGACCTTGCAAACTCTGCTGACGAGGATGTCAAGCAGTGGGTGCAGGTCGAGATTCGTAAAGTCGAGGCGAAGGTGCTGCACATGGATACTCGCTTGATGCAGACCAAACAAGCAATTGAGCGCGGACAGCGGTACTTGGAAAAGCTGGAGGTCACGGAGCTCCTGAATGCGAGAGCAGAAGTCAGCAAACTCCTGCGGGCCAAGAAGATGGAGCCAGAGGATCTCTTCAAGGCTGTCGACAAGGACGGCGATGGCACGGTCAACCTCTCGGACTTCACTGCCTTTCTTCAAGCTGATGGCTGTCAGCTGGATGCTGAAAAAATGGAACAGACCTTTAGTTACTATGACATGGCCACAGGCACCATTAGCAGAGAGATGCTGGTGCTGGCATCTCGGTGCTACTACTTGGTGGTGTCTGAGACCGTCATGACGGAGCAGGCTGCCCTAGAGGAGGGCCATGCGTTGCGGCGGCTGGATCCCAGGGAGCTCGTGGAGATCCTGGAGGGCCCCTCAGAAGAGAAGACTCCCGGGATCCCGCGTGCGAAATGCCGAGCAGTTCTAGATGCTGCAGAAGGCTGGGCCACCATCACGGGCAGCGGTGGGACGTCCTTCTTGGTCCCAAGCGAGGGTCTGTTGGATGTGCTGAGAGAAACGCCTCTGACAAGCGAGCTTGAGGAAAGCACAGCCCTTCGTGAGCTCGCGCCCGGCGAGAAGCTAGAGATCCTGGAGTGGTATTCAAGGAATGCAAACGGAGACAAGCGGGTGAAGGCCCGCGCAAAGGGCACCTCCGACATTGGCTGGGTGACCGCGGTCACTGCTGAGGGGACAGAGATTCTGAAAATTTCAATGACCCCAATGAGCTGACTAGCGAGATTTTGACATCATGGCTGAGGGAATTTCCTTGGCCGTAGAGAGTCTGTATATAAACTGCTAGAAGCCACTACACTGGCCAGGATGCTTCAAACTCTTCAAGCTCTGCCCAGCCTTATGCAAAACAGGCACTGCTCCGGGGGCCGTTTTTTGTTCACAGCTGTGGAGAAGTTGACTTGCAGTCATGTGATGCCCTCTGCCGAGGATTCAGGCTTGGTGACCAGATCAGCTGCAGCGAGCATTCAGCCTGGTCAGTACAAAGCAGATCGGGACTTTGTGAATGACATCACCAGCGAAGTGCGGAAGGACGTGGATGCACGGTTCCGACAAGCCCCACGGTCGCTTGACTTAGACATGCGCTCATTTTGCCTTGCGAGCTTCAGTGGTCTGGCAGAAACTTACGATGGCAAAGCCACCCAGCATGACCACCAGCCAGCAGCCGAGCAGAGTAGGCTGCTGACGAGGGAAGTTGAATTCACGACAGCGGGGAAGATGAGGAGGAGATGGAGGGATGTGTCACATGTAATGACATGAGACGAGGGGATTGACACAGCCGTGCTTGTGGTGCTAGAACAGCTCATTCAGTTCACGATTTGCGAGCTTTTGCTGTGTGCTGTCGATGGATAGCAGACGTCAGTGTGTCAGAATTCCCAAGTGGCATGCCCATGCCTGCTTCTCTTGTCAGTAGCTCAGATTGCTGGTCTGACCTCACTTCCTGAGTCTGGTGTGGCCACCATCGCCAATGAAAGCTGAGGTGCACCTTCGGAGAGAACCCGAGGTACGATGAGTCGGGTGTGTTGAAGGGTGTGCGAAACCCTGGCAACATGAAGCTGTGGTTCAATCCAGTTGGACCTGGGCAGTACCAACCGTTGGATGGCATTGAAAGTTCAGCCCGAGTCCACTGGATGTCATCGCCTGCCTGGTCGCAACGTCGTGGTAAACCTGCCGAGGATGTCCGTGCTGCGAAGGCTGCTGGATGTGCACCTGGCCCTGGCTACTATGCACCTCAGACCAAGGTGGAACCACGCGGAAAGCGAACGGTTTGCAAAAATGCAGGGCAGTTCAGCTTGATCTTCCAGCGGATTGGTGCCAGTGCAGGACCAAATTCATATGTACCCAGAAGGAGGTCCGAATCTGTGGAACCGCTGGGCTCAGATCATGGCAACAGTGCACCTCCCAGCAGAGGCTGAGGGCGTGTGCTTCTGCGCTCGTGAACAGAAGTTGAAAGCACAGACACACAAGACAGTCTCACCCACCGGGCGCCCCTGTATGGGTTGGCCCTCGAAGCTTTCGAAGCCATCTTCGGAGAAAAGCTTCGACCGGGCCTAGTGCGGCTTCAGAGATGCATCTTCGCAATGCTCTGTGCCGTGCGAAGTGAATCAGGAGAGAGCTTTGGCAAAATCACCTCAGGCGCTTCTGCCACGATTGGTAATGGTGTCCAGAGGATCGCGAAGTGCAGCTGTCGACATTGAAGGCGTTGCATGGAGGAAGAGAAGAAGGCGGAGCTGGGCGATCCTTTGGACTCCGGGAAGTGTTGCATTCTGTTCGGGCTGCAGGACATGGACTGGAGAAGCGCGATAGAGCACGACTACCGGGAGATGTTGAAGGCTCACAGCCGGCGTCCGCCGCTTCAGGCAGTCGCTTCGGCGCGTCTTTCCGCACATTCCAGGATCAGATACGAGAACGCCAGCTGCGACGGGAAGAAGCAAAGCGCGCGTCAGTTGAACAGGCGGGTGAGTAGGCTGCCTGGTTCTTCAGGGAGCTTCAGCACTCTCAGCAGCAGAAGTCCGTGTAGGCTTCGATGCACGGGTTTCCCGACTTCTCGAAGCCCTCCAACATCTCCGTCAACCGCCCAGAGGATACTCTGCCAGGGCTCTAGGAACCTCACTCTCCATTGCGTGACTGTGAGGTCAAAGACTACATCGTCGAGCGGCGCCTGCATCTGAAGGAGGACCTCGACCAGCAGGCGCGGGCTGGCGGGCTGGCGGGCTGGCGGGCTGGCTGGCCCTTTTTTTTCTTCTTGGCAGTGCAGGTGGAGCTCAAGAAGCGCCAGAAGGAACACAGAAAGGCTATCGAACATGCGGGCGTCCAAGCTTGGCTTCATAGGCCTGCGCGGCAAACCCTGGAAGTGGTTGGCAAGGAAATGGACCGCATCAACAACCTCGCAGCACATACCGAGCTCGTGCAGCTTTCCACTCGGTTGAAAGCTTCGTTGACCTCGTCCGGACGGCTCTTTGAACAAATTGACCACCAGGCAGCGAGTCAAGGACCGCGAGCGAGGAAGACACGTTCTTCAGGCCAGCTTCGGCTTGGAAAGGCTCTGGACAAGAGCTCATACATGCCCACACGCCCACACACCTTTACACATACATATGTGATCCCGGTTCTCAGTTCGCCGACCCCCCCGCATGGTATGCCCCCCCCGGAACGCCCCGGTCCAAATTTGCCGAATCCCTGCGACTGCGCGCGCTTCTCCCACATGGCGGCTCCAAAGCCCCATCAACTGTCACGAGGATCTCGTCCCAAACACGCCCGATCCTTGTGACAGTGGGCACTTTCCACCCAGGACTGTACCATGAGGGTATTGAAAGTGCAATTGTCACCCGGATTCGCCTTCCTGCCAGGCCCGCTTCCTGTGGCAGTTGACCCAAGAAAGGAACATGACGATGACGATGATGATGATGATGATGATGAGGATGAGGATGACGATGAGGATGACGCTGATGATGATGCTGATGATGATGTTGATGATGATGTTGATGATGATGACGACGATTTGGAAAACCCAGGGCGACCCAAACCGCGAACCACACCACACCACAG